GTGTGTGTGTGTGTGTGTGTGTGTGTGTGTGTGTGTGTGTGTGTGTGTGTGTGTGTGTGTGTGTGTGTGTGTGTGTGTGTGTGTGTGTGTGTGTGTGTGTGTGTGTGTGTGTGTGTGTGTGTGTGTGTGTGTGTGTGTGTGTGTGTGTGTGTGTGTGTGTGTGTGTGCACACACACGCATGTCTGTACATGCAGTTGCCTATGTCCATGAATGCATACCATTGTCAAAACAAATGTTGCCCAGTGCCCGGCAAGACTGAATACAGGCACCAACATTCTCCTTCTCTAGCAGCTGCAACAAAGGTGAAATCAAGCCTGCCTCTACACAGGGGGTCCGCATACTCTCTGAAATACATATAACACATAACATGCACCTACTAGAACGTGCAAATATTGACTACAAGTGAACGTGCAAGCCATTTTAAGATTAAATCATCCAGAGGTACTTCAGCAATTTCACAGCACTGAGCTACATGTATCTGTTTGAGCCTGCCAGTGAGAAATCAATAAATTAATCAATTTCCAAGGCCGACAGACAGTTGTATAATCATCTGGGTGATTGCCCATGTTATGGCAAATGGATTGCTCAATGCATTTTGAAGCACTGCATGAAATCAGACAATTTTCTTTTCAGTTTTAAAGCAGCATATGAATTCCACAATGGGTAATATGCCTGTTGCCTGACTTTCTCCCATCAGTCTAACATTCAGATCTGACATGTTTACACTATAATATATATGCAGAGGACCAAAAATGAAACATCATTGCACATAAGGTGCAGCACAGTGTCTCAAATTAAAGTTTATCAGATATAATATTTATTTATTTGTTTGTTTAGAGAGTACAAATTTATCTTGTGCCTCTGCATGCTCACATAATCACTTTCATTGAATGTGTGTGTGTGTGTGTGTGTGTGCGTGTGTGCGCGCGCGCGTGCATAACAAATAAAATTATTATCTTATCTATTCCCTCTATTGTCTGATTGAGCATATCACCTTCTTTAGCCACCTCCGCCACCACCTGGGCTGCCTTGATCTTACTGTTCTTAGTATCTTGTGTTAAAACATGATGCAATTCAGAAAGGAGGCCTGACTGGAGAAGCTCCTTAAACACTTTTTCTGCATCATCTTCCTCTGTAAAGAATTCATTAAACTGATTTTTTTAGTGGATAAATAGCTAAGACATAAGACATGAAAGCTAAGACATGAATCAAAATTTTAACAACTATTGACCAACTTGCTTGTGAACAATACTTTCAAAGGAAGAGAAATGGAAAATTGCCATTGATCCATATGAAAAAACAAAACAAACAACAAACAAACAAACAAACAAAAAACATATTAATCAAATTGTATGAAAGCAATCTGAACTTATTATAAAGTAAATTTTACACAACTGATAATTCATACCCTTTCCTCTCAAAATATTTTCCGTATAAAAATAAAGAAATTGGTAACCGTTATAGGTTCTAAATATGACATGTGAACTTTCAAAATGTTAAAAAGTTGTTCTTGGTTGAATTCCTTTCATTAAAATTATAAGTTAACCCTTACAACCACCACATTACAATTTTCACTTGATTGAATATGCTTGAAAAAATTGTTACATACATGTCTCATTACTTAGAATAAAATCAAGCAAGATTTTTCTGGGATTTGGAGGAGATCAGGGTGAGAAATAATGGCCGACCAGCAACTTTGCTGTAGCAACAAATTAATAAAAGCAGACATAATTTCTAAACACATTTTTTGTTTGTTCTTCTCTAAATTTTGTGGAATTAGTCTCTAGCAAATTTAAACATAACAATTTACCATATTTTGTGTGTACTGCTTTTTACAATGACATTCCCCACACAAAGTATATCACCTTACCACTTTACACTTTTCACACTTTTTACTTTGCATGATGCGACATGGTGCCAAAGTCTCATTTCAGAGTATCTTGGATGACTTCCATTCCTTCTTTGTTTTTTCTTTCTTTCTTTCTTTTTTTCTTTCTATTTATCTATCTATCTATTAGTGTGTTTCATTTATCTATTAAACTTTAATTTTTTACAGACAAACAGCAGGTTTACTCACCCTCATTGGATAACAGATCTAAAAGTTTATCCAGGTTGGTTTCACTGGTGCTTTCTTCATGCAGCTTCAATTTGTCAAGGGTACTCAAAAGCTCCTCTAAAATTGTGTCAGAAATTGAATATACTTGCATCATAATGGGAGAACTGTACATTTTCATGAAGGACAACTTAAAACTTCAAAACAAAAGTGCTTTTTTTAAAGCACTTCGTCAAAAATACATTATTTTGAACACATGACAAAATTTAAATCTGCAAGCATAATTACCATCGGAATTTATCCATGAGAAATTTGATCCAATATTTCAAATCATAGTTTCAATAGTTCTGTCATGTCACATATAACACTTAAGAAACACACACACACACACACACACACACACACACACACACACACACACATAAAAAGAAACATATATACACACATATATCTTATGGCTATATCCATAAGATTTCTAAATACTTATCCAATAAACCTTTCTGTTGTGTGTGATGTACATGTTATGTATTTCAATGATGATCTTTACTCAAATTCCACTACAAACCACTGGATTTATAACAAGTGGTGATATCAGTTCACTGTTAGGGCAAGGGAGAAAGAAGGGGACATTTTCTATATATTTCATAGTGTAGCGGCATCTTAAACAGGCTGCATGGTAACACAATATCTTAAAGGCAGCAAGGTAGCTTGATATCCAAACTCAGTGGACATCCCACCTCCTTTCAAACAGCATTCACAATACCTGCTCCTTTGTTTGCTTACCACGATTTATCCAACATGTACCACACCAACAGAATTCTGTACTTCTGTAGTACCCCCAACCCTTACCCTATCAGTCATTGATTTTGATGTTTTTATAGAAGAACACTGCTATTCAGGCCTATGGGTTTGGGAGAATACTGCGCAACAATACCCAGAATTTGGTATCGCCAAAAATCAATCTCATCATGATAACTCAGTTTATAATCAAGAAAGATGAGAGCGCTTAAAGAGAGATAAGCACATCAGTAACGTAAAAGATTTCCAGTTTTAATTTACTGCCAAAATTACTAGCCTTTTGTTTGTATTCGACTGAAGTATGTTTTAGTGTAAGCTAAACTCTGACCAACAAATGGATAGCATGTAGAGCTATCCATTTCACTTAACAGATGGGTCGCAGTGACCTATTCAAGGATGTCCACTTTAGCTTGTCTGTCATTGAATGGGATCAAGTGACATGATGATTCACACCCAATAACAAAGACCCTATTAGTTTACTTTGAAGTGAACCATTCAAGGCTGACCATTTTTGAGTACAATATAATAAATACAAGACAGCTTCACAAATTCAGTGAGTAGGGATTGTTACATGTAGGAATAGTAACAAGAAGTATAAAGTGCAGTGGGTTTGGAGTCAGTAAGCAGCTAGAGTTGCATACAGTGTACAGAGTAGGGTATATTGACACCAGTGTCTCATCAGAGACAGAATAGATGTACATGTACTAGCAGATGCAACTTGTATGGTTGGTGTTCTAAAAA